GTCAAATCTAGCACAAAGTATAAGCAGAGCAAAGATCCCATCAAACTGTCCAATCAAGGTCAACCCCCAGCACAAGGTAGATGCAAGGTAGATACCACTGACAATTTGTTGCCCATCCATAATTGACCTTGATAAAGTGGTGGTGGTGGTGAGCTGCCTTCTTGAACAGCTGCAATCCATATTGTACAGGGACATTGGAACCTTCTTTTCTAGCACCTTACTCCATTAGGCCTCAGCTCTGCACAATCTGACATCAAGACATAGCTCCTTACACAACTTCTCAGTAGCTATTGTTAGAGGATTGTTTGAGGGTTGTGCAGTTAATCCTTTAAATGCGGCAGATGGGAATTTAGGAAACGACCAATGAACAAGGTAAAGAAAAGCTTTTGCTCCTACTGAGGCATTTGTACTGGATGCCACTATACCTGCCAGCAAAGCATGTCATCCTGATAAATAACCTAGGAGTTTGCTTAAGTCTGAGGAAGAGGAAAGTGAGTTATCATTCTGTGACAATGTGCCTGAATCAGTTTAGTCCAGGTCTACTTCTTAGTGAGTCGCTGTCTGATCACAATGCTTGGGGTTAAGGTTTGTGCATTTAACACTGGAGTCAATTACAATAGATTGTATCAGGATATAGTGAATTAAAAGAGAATAAAGCTACCTCGAACGAATTATGATTTCAGTCAACTGAATCACTTTGCCCACATAAAGTTAATTACATTTCTTAAGTATGAATCTTGTGCTTTCAGACTGATCAGCTTTAATTTGGTATATTTCCTTTAATTCAGTGTTATCAATTTGTTTCAATTCTCAGTTTCAGCCACAGTTAATTTCCAGTCTCAGTTAATTCCTTGCTCAGTTCAAGAACTGTAGTTTTATTAAATAAATTCAGTCTTTCTGTTCAATTTTTAAATGAGACAGATTCATAATATTTTTTTCTCATTTGTGGTCTTGTGTTGCTCAGGCATTGTGTGTTGGTCTTGCTGATTCCCTAAAGCTCTTCTAAGAAGCATTGATGGGTGAATTATCATTGAAGCCAGCTGAAGGATCTTTGGCAATGACTGCAGGACAATAAACAATGAAAAAGCTTACATTTACAGAGCACATTGTCACCTCCTTAGGACATCCCACATCACTGATGGTTGATTTTACAGTTTGCTGATAGTTCAGACAGAAGCTAATTTTTAATTCTCCACAGATCTCACAACAGCAATGAAATAAATGACCCTTTTTTTAACTGGCATTGTTACTTTGAGGGAATAAGGATGGACAGGACCATTTTCCTTCTTTGGATATAGTTATGAAATCTTTTCCATCCACCTGTCAGACCAGATTGTGAAAGTAACCTGAATGGGCTTTTGTCTCTTACTGGGGACAGTAACATACTGCTATGTACCTGGATTAGTAACCTCTATGCTTAAACTAATGATTTCAATTCAATAAATTAAATAAATCGGGAATAAAGAGTTTATAAAATCATGAGGGGCATGGATAGGGTGAATAGCCAAGGTCATCCTCCCGAGGGTGGGGGAGTCCAAAACTAGAGGGCAAAGATTTAAGGTGGGAGGGGAAAGATTTAAAAGGGACCCAAGGGGCAACTTCCTCAAGTGGTGGTGCATGTATTGAATGAGTTGCCAGAGGAAGTGATGGAGGCTGGTACAATTACAACATTTAAAAGACATGGACAAGTTGGACCAAAGAGTCTGCTTCCATGCTGTAAAACTCAATGACTCTACAAGATACGCCATATTTGTAAAACTCCACCTGGCTCACTGCCATCTTCACCTAATCTGGCCTCTATATGGCTCTTTGCTGCCCTCTATGGGTTAGCAAGCCACATAGTGATCAGGAAGGCAGCTCACAACCACCAAATCAAAAACAACTAGGGGTTAACATTAAACACTGGCCTTGTCACAGATGCACGCATCATGTGAATGGATGCAAATAAACTTGGAGGTGCTTTATTCCAATAGGTAGGATGCAACATGTAAAATGATGGGTATTTGTTTTAGACCAGTGCAGATTTGTTGGGCCGAAGGACCTTTTGCTGTGCTTTAGACCGCTTTGACATACTACTGGCTCCCACATAAACTAGTAGAGGTAAGAGGCATCATTGCAGAGTCCTTAACTGCCTCCATGAGCTGTGTTGAATGAACAATCAAATTCAAAACTTTACAAACAACTAAGTGTAAAAATATAAAGAAATAGTCCTGGGTCTTTTACTTGCAGTGGCATGCATACTGTGAATGACCATCAAATCTGCACCAGCTACTGGTGTGTATCACCCTCCTCCTGAGCAAGGAAAGATAGACCTCGCTCAGACAAAACCAACATGACATTACCTTTACCATTTTGGACAATGAGCATCTCTGTACAGTTACGCAGTGAATAATCATTGCCATGCTGAATAAACATGATTCTACCCTGCTCCAAGTGAGGAATCCTTGAACCGCTGAATAAATAATGCTCTGTACAATGGCACATTGTATAACATTTACAAAACACAATAAAAGGTGTAAACAGTGATCAAATAAAAGAATGGAGTGCTTGACTTTATATCAAGGATGGGTCATAATTGGGAGAAACAATGTTTCACTTTTACAGTGTCTGGCTGGAGTACTGAGGCAGCAGACCTCAATGGCTATAAACACACAGTACTGCGGATGCTGAAACTTTAAAATCAAAACAGAAAATGGATAAACTCAGCAGGTTTGGCAGCATCTAAGGAGAGAGTTAACATTTTGAGTCTGATATATTACATTGACTTTAATATTTAACTTAGATACCATGTGACTTCTATTCCATTATGGGATATTATGGGATAATCTGATTGAGGTATTTAAAATATTCAAAGGATTCACAAGGGCAGGTATAGAGAAGCTGTTTCCTCTGGTAGGTGATTCAACAATGATGTGATGTTATCTTCAAATTGATGGTAGGAATAGCTTTATACACAATGTAAGTGGAAAGTTGGAATACCAAATCAAAGACCCTTCCCACCCTAGTTTTATTCACTTTCACCCTCTTCTATTGGGCAGAATATACAGAAGTTTGAAAACACATACCAACAGATTTAAGAACAGCTTCCTCTTCATTGTTATCAGATTTATAAACAGACCTCTAATATAATGATTTGGTAGTATTGATCTTTCTCTGCACCTTTTCTGTAGCTGTAACACTATATTCTGCATTTTGTCCTATTACTCTAATGTACTTATGTAAGGTATGATTTGCCTGGATAGTACTTAAAACATTCCTTATCACTATATCTCAGTACATATGACAATAATACATCAAATCAAATTAAAAGCTGCTTCAAAAGGCTGCATTGTGCAACAATTGGAGCTTTCAAGACTGGGTTCACTTTTGTTTTGTTTGAGTAAAGGTATCAAAAAACATTGACCCAAGGGGAATAAATTGAGTTGAGGTACTGATTATCCATGCTGTAATTGAATGCTGGAATAAGAATTTGGGCTTGATGGCCCTGATTTAGGATGGCCAATTCTTATATTACTGAATGTGCAAGATTTCCCCATTGTTGCACTCAAATAATTTTTTTTTCCTTTATTTGTTCTTGAGATGAGGGCCAAAGTTAGCATTTATTGCCTAATCCTAATTGTTAACAGTTAAGACTCAGCAATGTTGCCAGACCAGATACAGATGTATGGTTAGACCCCACTTTGAGTGCTGTGAGCAGATCTGGGCACTACATCTTAGGAAGGATACACTGGCCTTGGAGGTAGTACAATGTACGTTTACAAGAGTGATACCTGGGCTTCAGTGGTTAAGCTATGAGGAGTGATTATGCAAGTTGGGCCCATTTTCTCTAGAATTTTGAAGATGAAGGGATGATCTGATTGAAGTCTTCAAGATATTAACAGATAAAAACAGGGGTAGATAAAGATAAACCATTTTCACTGGTTGGGGATTCTAGAAGTAGGGGGTGTAGTCTAAAAATTAAGGGCAGATAATGTACAGACAGGGAATAGAGGGATACAGAGCATGTACAGACAGATGGATTAGTTTAGAATGACATCATGTTTAGCACAGACATGGTGGGCTGAAGGCCTGTGCCTGTTCTGTACTGTTTTGTGATACCATTCAGGAGAGATGTTAGGAAGCATGCAAACAAAGGGTGGTAGAGATTTGGAACTGTCTTCCTCAAATGGAAGTGGATGCTGGATCAGTTGTTAATTTTAAATTTAGGATAGATAATGTTTTTGTCATTAACAGATTAAGGGCCAAAGGCAGCAATATGGAGTTGGGCCACAGATCAGCCATGATCTCATTGAATGGAGGAACAGACTCCAGGGGCTGCAGCAGTTCCTATGTACTTATGGAAGATTTCCCTCCAAAGATGGCATTAGTGAACCAATCAACAATGTCATCACGAGGCCAGCATTTTATTGGATTTCACCAGTCTGCCTTGATCCCTGAAATACTGGTCCAGGGTGACAATGACCAGGACACCACCGGCTGGGTTACCCTGTGAAACAAGTCACAGATTAATTGTCACTGACCAACTGACCAGGGTAAGCCAGAAGTACAGGAAGAGGTCACACCTGCTGAGGAATTGGCTATTTCTTTTCACCTGGCAGGTATGTTTATATCTCAAGTTTCCTATCGTACAAACATAGTTAAATAAATGATCCCAACAACCGGATCTCTGTCGTTCGCAGTGCTACCCTAACCTAATTTGTTTTGAAAATAATCTGCATGTTTAGTGTTTCCTATTCCTTTGGACACAGTTGCCAAGCAGCAGCTTGTCAGTTCTGTGAACTGTTCCTGTAAGCTATTAATCAAGAGAACTCCTCCTTGTGGTATTCACTGAGCCAGGTTAGAGCCTACCTGTTAACTAAGCCAGGCGAAGGTCACCTTTTCCAACAACAGCAAGTGTCAGGTGAGCCGCTTTTGGCTGACATTTGATAGCACGGGCCCTGTTTGTGAAGCAGCCTGTTGGTTGACGCCCGCATCAAGGACTGAGCAGTTGACCGCTGACGATGGAGTTTGCGGGCAAAGTTATTGTGTCGGCCGCTGTTGCGGTGAGCCTAGCTTTCATTTACAGGTTCTACAAACTGCGGGCTGCCAGTGCCGCACCAGGGCGAGCTGTGACAGATTCGGGAGACTCGGAGATCACGGAATCGGGTGAAAACACCAGCAGGGACACGGGGCAAGGACTGCAGCCTTTGTTGAGTTTGCAAAGGGAGGAGAATGCAGGAAACCCAGCCGGGTACAGGGATCAGTGCCTCAATAAAGCGGAGTTGAAAAGGCGGACGGTGGATAGGGCGAGTGATGGTTGTGAGCAAGGAACAGAGCACCTCCAGGACACAACCAGCGGGAGAGGGATGGTCAGAACCCACAGGCTGAAGGTGGAGGTTAGACGCCTGGCTTTATGCAGGCCACTGAGAAACCACCTGGTCAGGAAAGGGCTGGCAGAGGGACAGGATAAAGCTCCAACTCTGACAGTTTCAGGCCATAGGGAGTGCGTCGACACCAGCTACCCAGCTGAGGAATATGACCGACCCAACCTCACCAACACAAGCTCAGCATGGGCATGGGCTAGCGGAATAAGCTGTGAAGGCGACACAACAGACGCGAAACAGAATCGGTTCATAAATACCAACTCTCCAACATCTTGTAATCGAGAACTAGATGTTCGTATCAACGGGGAGCCTCAGAATCACATCTTCTTTGACGTACTGAGTGCTGACAACGGCACACAGAAAGGAAATCTGTCTGCAAGTCTTATTGAGAAGCCCCGTGATCCTCACACTTCGCCTCCCTCTGATCTGATTAGTGACACGCCAGAGAAAGCCGTGGAAAATCAGCCTTCTGAACTCCCCGAAAATCAGATGCATAAGAATGTCACCTTCAGGCAGGGCACAGCAGGGGGTTCCAGAGAAGAAGAGAATCCCTCTAGTGCCTGTGAGTTACACCCTGACAGCAGAATTGGAAGATCTAGCGCTCTCCATGTTTCCCCCACATGTCAAGACAAACATGAAAGAGTCAAAATTGGCAATGGATCGGAAGCTGGGCTAAAGGTTTCACAGTTATGTGGGGAAGTGAATCTATCTGATCACAAGATAATTTCAACTTCAGAAATGGAAACTGAGTGGAAAGCATATGGGGACAGAAGTAACAGCTGTTCTGCTACTCAAATTATAAAAGAACCAGCTTCCCTTGATGTGGACCACCTCAAGACACCAGCTTCCCAGTGCCAGAGGAGACACCAGCTCAACGTGTGCCCCACAGGCGCAACTCAGGATAACATAATGTTCTGTCAGAGCCTGACTGTCCAAACAAAAGTAGTCAATTCCTCTGAATCTGACTTCAGTCCTTCTGAGCATCCAGAGGCTTCTGACATTTCTTCTGAGGCACCTTGCTGTTCAATCAAGTCTGCCATCACAACTATAAAGGAGGGAAGAACTGTCCTCAGGAAAGATAGTATTTCAGCAATTGCAGAGACCCCAGCATTTTTAATTGAATTTGACTCAGAGACAAGGGAGTGCTGGGAGAAAGGTCACTCTAATGAACTGAACTCTAGAGCTCCTTCTGTTGATGACCTCCGCTCCAGTTCTTTGGGCTCACTGGTAGATTCATTGTATTTGTCCCAATCAGACCTCAGCAAGGAAACACCTGTGGAAGTTATTGCCAGAGCTAATTTTATTCACATCCCTTTGAACAATCAATCAACTGTTGAAGTCATGAAATGCCGCTTGGCTCTGGAGAATTGTTATGAGATTTTGTGTGTTGCAAAGAAACACAATTTAAAGGACCTGCAGGATGCTGCTTATCAAGTCATGAGTGACAATTACTTACAAGTTTTGAAAAACCCAAACATTTATGGTCAATTAAAAGCCGATGAGAGAGAATTGATCCTGATGAGAAGGATGAATGGCAGAACATATTTAATGGTAGCCAGTGTAGATGTTCAAGAGAATTACTGGGCTAAGACCATAGTTCAACCCAACACAGAAGATCAAACCAGTGTCAGGCCACCAAAACCTCCTCAAACCAAGCACACACTTTACTATTACAAGGAAGAGCATGATTCTTGGTATCCATTAGTTAATATAGCCGTTGAATCAATCTCCAAAGATTGTGCATTGTGCACCATGTACAATTATCTTTTTGTTGTGGCTGGTTGTCAGAGATCTGGCAAGGAAATCAAACTTTCCAATAAGGTATTCTGTTACAATCCAGTGACAAACATTTGGAGTGAGATATGTCCACTCAATCAGGCCAGGCCCAATTGTAAGCTTGTGGCTTTGGATGGGTATCTTTATGCAATTGGAGGAGAGTGCCTTTCTACAGTAGAGAGGTATGATCCTAGAACAGACAGATGGATCTTCATTGCACCACTACCACAAGGAACCTTTTCTATGACATACAAAGCTACAGTGTGCAATGGTGAGATTTACGTGACCAGGGGTACCTTCTACTATCAGCTTCTCAAGTACAATGCTAGAGAAGACACGTGGAATGTTTGCAGCACGATGAGCAGGAAGGACAAGACCACTGATATAGCTGCAATCAAAAACTTCATCTACAGATTTGAGATTAACCAACAGCATGGTATCAGTGTGTACCAATATCATGTTATCACCAAAACTGGTTATGAATGTGCCACCAAAAGGCACTGCAAGCTAGCACCATTTCAGTGCGCTGTCATGAATGATACGATTTATTGCATAAATAAGCATTTCATGGTGCAGTTTGTTGCTCACGAATTATCACCCTATTTCAGAGCAGAAGATTACACTGCCCTTCCTGAAGCGAAGGGAGTCTTTTTCCCCTTTATACTTACACTGCCAGAAAGACTGTCATTCCAGACTCGAGTGTAAATACTTCAGGGGTACAGAGCATAAACCTCTGCTGAATATCCTAACTTCGTATGGAAGTAGATTCTGAAGCTGTTTCATATTGTTTTCTGTTGGTGTATTGATATGTCTGATTCCCTTTCTCATCTATCCAAAAGGTGGCTGTCACTGTAGAAGTCTCCATCAGCCTGTTAGATGAAACTACTCTGCTTGTGGATTCCTTTGCACTGCCTCTCAGATTTCTGCAAGAGGTCACTATTAGATTAAGTCAACAATCACACAACACCAGGTTATAGTCCAACAGGTTTATTTGAAATCACAAACTTTCGAAGTGCAGCCCTTTCATCAGCTGCAGTGAGAGGAGAGCACACAGACACAGAGTTTATAGGCAGGGAGAATGAAGGGCAGAGAGATCAAAGGATCAGACAACTGGTGTGAATGGAGTGAACAAAACTAAAATGGCTGACTGATTGCCTCCTGTTGAATTTTTAATCATTTGTACATTGCTGCATTCTAGTAACTGCGGAAGCAGGATATGGAGAACTCTGTTAAAAAGATGTAAGTTTCAATTGATAAAGATGCAAATTCCAGAATCTGTTTCAAGTCACTGCCCCAAGATAATTTAAGGTTTCATCAGTGTCTGTCTAACTTTCCAAACTTCAAACAGGCAGAGCGATAGGAATATCCAAAAGGTGACATCTCAGGTCAGACACTGAACTGTAGGTGTGAGGCCTTGACCAGAATCTGTCTC